TTCTACTGTGCTTTCACTGTAAAATTCTGTGGTTAACAAAGTTGTCAGACGAGTAGGAACTTCCTCCAGATTTGAATTCTCGCGAAACACTTAACTCTATAACTTGTAAACAGTCACTTTCACGCTGGGAATGGTGTGTTCCTCAAGAACCATGCAAGTCACGTTCAAAAATTTTTAATTTATTGGTATAAAACTTGTCAGTCCTCTTATTCCCCGTCCTGTAAGAAATCAGCTGCTTTTTGTAATTGTCTTTAATGTTATTTCTCTCTTTTTTCTTGTAACTGCTTTTGGAGGAATTCCATAGACGAAGAGCCACAGTACTAACCGGAATTAGAAAATCTTTCTACAGCTATATAAGAAAGTGAGAAATAACATTTTGGAGAAACACAATTATAGAATAAAATAAGATCTTTGACCAACAAGCATCTTTTAAAGACAGTTGTTATCCCGTCTGCTAACCTTTGTTTTCTGCATTTACCTTTCCATGCCAACCAAAAGCGGAAATCCAATTCTTTGAAAGGCATGGATGCTGCGGTTTGAATAGTTCATTAGAGAGCCCTGAGAAGTGTTACGGTACGATAAGTAGTGCGCTGTAATTAATCATCATCATAGCCATACGACGTTCGCTAGGCTTTATATTTGATGTTGACCGATCAAATTTGCTTTTCTTATTACGAAATGAATCATGCTTTACCCAGCTTGTAAGAAATCCACTTTAATTTCGTAGCATATATTGTTTTCGTTCAATTACTGGAGTTAAAAGTTTGAAAATCATAAGCCATTAACCGTTTGGAAGTTCGACAAAGACGTCTTTATTTTTTTTTTTCAAATTTCTTTTCCAGATGCAGGTCAATTTTCTAAACATATCGCCCTCCCCCATGTCTTTAACACTATATTTCAGGTAAGAATTTATGGCTCCGCAATTAATAAGCTCACTCTTAACAAAGGATATCTCTGATCACCTTCTAAGCTTCCCCAACTTTATTACTATATCCTTCTAAACCAAAACTCCACTAAAAAGGTGCGCTAGTAATGCATTTTACATAAAGAGTTTACTGCACAACTACGGTTCGTAGTTGGCAGAATACAATACTTAGAAAATGAAATACAAATATAAGTTTGGCCATAATTTGAGTCCTGCGTGAAATTAACATCTGATAAGCTATTTACTGGACTTGTTTCACCTGTAGTATTTTCAATGTGCATCTTTTCTTACAAAAGCCTCCATCTGATCTTCGTCAACTTTATTAAAGTTCAAAACTGCTTTGAAAAGCGTTTCAAATTACATATTTTGAGACTTAAGTCCTCTAACTTTCCTCAGGATTGAAAAGTTGGCAGACCCAGTTACTTAGCTATTAAAATGAAAAGGTATTTTTGGAAAACCGTTCTGTTCGCCAAAAAAATATCTCGTTAAACTGCAAAAACTTCAGGAATTCCAGCAACCAGAATTCATTTAGATATGCCCATCATAGTTGCGGGGACGGAAGGATAAAAAAAAAAAAAGAAAAACAATTTCATTTTCTAAGAAAATAAATTTTACAAAAAAATGCAAAAAAAAATTTAGGTAACTTTTTCCAAGAACCATTACAAAAACCTTCTTTCTACGCAGTAAACAGAGGTTGACGAAGATCCCTGCGGTATCGAGCACCGGTTTCGTTTTAGCTGAATTTAATGAAAAAATACCTCGTAATAACACCATCACGTACCCCGATTCTATAACCGAATTTTTCGAAATAAAGCGCTGGTAGAGCGCTTACAAACTTTAATTTAATTTCGATTTACGAGACCGGCCCGACTGCAAAATTTACTGGAATTGGAAGCTACTTTTCTCGTTGGTTTCACTTTAGGAAACGTAATCATGGTACTTGCAAAGCGTGACCTAACAAGCCATTTTTGCGCACTAAAACCCCATAAATAATCTTTTTTTCTTTTCTTGAAAACAATGCCAATAAGTTTTCGCAAACCAATTGCGATGTTTACGTTATCAACTTCATTATTAACGAGTGAATCAACTTTTCAGTGAGAAAAACTACAATTTCCTGCATCGTAGCCATCCCCACTGGTAAGAAATTTGGCAAGCCCAAAAATGCATAGAACAAGGAAACTTATAAAGTTAGTAAAATATTAAGACCAACATAAAATTGATAAAGTCCAAAAGTGATTTTGATCTGAGCTTCCTCGCCTGAAAACGAAGGAACTAAAGAAAAATTTTTGTTTGCTAACATGCTACGGTACTTTTTTGTCTCTAATACTGCTATCACTAACAATTTCAAAACGCTTCCCCAAAAAGCAGTCTTAAGATATTTACGTAGCCTAGCCACTACCCCTTATTAAACTAGATGTATCTTGTGCAATTTATATGGAAAAAATAGCACAACAAAATCAGCTGTTCTGACTGTGTTCTCAGGCTCCTAAAACGTATCCAGCTACTGCTAGTCGTCTAGATCTTCAGTTTTCTTAAGAGCTGCCAAACTGGCACTGTGTTTTCCAATGCAGTTCAAGTTCTTGAAGAACTCTCTCACAAAGGTCAACAATTGATGCCTCAAGTTCCTTCTGCATCATTCTGCTCTTCAACTCTACAAACGAGTTACTGAAATCCTTCAAATCGTCAAATAATTTATATTTTCATCCTAATCAGCATTAATTTAACATCATGCAGCTGCTCCTGCACTTTCAATTACCATTTTCTTTGCTGTCAAACTGCAATGTGTAGCCTCTTCTACCCAGCCACTTTCAACGCTACTCTTTCTTCTCAAACCTGACCGAAGTCAATTCAAAAAAACTCATTTGCATCACCTCATCTTGCAATGATACTGTTCGCTGGTAAACTATGTAGCAAACTGCTTCTCAAATACTGCTGGCTTGTTTACGATACTGCACACCCCAGATTGCCAATAATCTGGTAATTCTTCCTCGGCTCTAGCTGGTAAGGCTTCTTTGCAACCCTCAAGCACTGGCTCGGAGAAAAAGATGCGAGCAGCACTAAAAATCTGGTTATTTTCGCAACAGATATTCCGACAATAAAACTGCACTTGTGTAAATAGCTAAATCTCAAACTCGACTTTCTTGAAATTCTTACAGATAACACTAAAACAGCAGCAAGTCTTCAAATCCAAGTGACAATAAACAATTTTGCAATTCTCACTCAAGATTCCCCTTTACACCCTCGCACCTCCTACATTGTTCACAAAGTCCGTTTTCAGTAACATACTTTACTGAATCCTGCCAGTCAATTACTCAGTTATCCAAGACCGTAATATAAATGAACCATGCAAAGAACTCATTACCGGTTTAAAACTGGATGTGCAAAACGCCATACAAATTCAGGCCAGTTGTTAGGCCTCATACGGAGCAGTGAAGCACTGTCAACGAATTTTCAGTTTCACCGCTTCAATATTATTCTTCACGACCTCTCAGCAAACAAGATAAACAAAAGAAATTTCACGAAGCATTTCACCTACCTACATTAGCATTAATAATGATCAATGTCAGAAGGACACAAACTGAGCGATAACCTCAAAAGAGAGTATTTTCAAGGAAACTGCTTCACGAATACCCTTCACCGTGTAACAAACTCTCATTCCCTCACCAACGTATAGACACCAAATACACCAAGCACATTAAACCTCAGATCGCAAAAATGAAAATATTTAACCGGAGCATTTCAGAAAGAGACTGATACGTTCGAAACCTCCATTAATCTCCACGATGTTCTGGAGAAGTATATTAATGATACAGCAATACTTCGATTTCTAAAGCTCCTAGGCAATGTCAACGCTACGATCTCATGCTGCGCCAAAAACGAGTGTAACTGTCTAGACAGAAATGGAATTAACGTCTGCAAGGACAACAACAACTCAGCTGGTTAGTATCAAAACGTGTAGTACATCCTCTATAACTATAATAAGCTTAATCTCTACACTTCTTTTCCTAAAGGTTCACCTAGTACAACAAGTACAACAAATACGAATATTGGAAAGTCGTGTCCGAAAACGCTCTCCTGGTCACCCATTGTACTCCTACTTACAACCTGTATTTTGACAGCGATTAAACTCGACTAACTTCTGAAAAAATTTGTAAAATTTGCATTCAAACCTGCAAAACAACATTTGTCAACCGCTTATCATTTCACCGTCACAGTTTTAAAACAAAGCTACCATAAAACTCTGAGAAAAAACAAGTTCAACAGCTTGTTTTCTTTTTTCTATTCAGTGTCAAACTGTTCCGCAGCATACTAAGAAAAATCATATAATAAAAGTAAAAACGAAACGCCTAACTACATCCAAACTGCCTTCTCAAAAAAATAAGTACAAAACACACCGAGTGTCTTACCAGATTTGTTCAGATGCTGCGATGTCCGGAAGAAT